TTTTGTGGAAGAGCCACACTCAAGGGGCCAAAGAGCCACATGTGGTTGGGGAGCTGCAGTTTGCTGACCACAGCTGTAGGTCCATCCATGTTGTTGCAGAGGCAAGGTTTCATCCTTTCTATGGCTGAGTCATATTCCATTGTGTATACGCACCATTTCTTCTTTATCCATTCATGTAGTGATGTACATACTCTTAGGTTTCTTCTGTATCTTGGCTATTGTAAATAATGCTGCAATGAACATATGGATGTATATGTCTTTTGTTTTTTGTTTGTTTGCCAAGATGGGGTTCTCCCTTCCCTCCCTAGGAGAGAGAGGGAGAGGGAGAGGAAAGAAAAAAAGAGAGAAACATTGATGTGAAAGAGACACATTGATTGGTTGTCTCCCGCACGTGCCCTGACCAGGGCCAGGGATCGAATCTGCAACCGAGGTACATGTCCTTGACTAGGAATCGAACCCATGACTTTGGTACGTGGACCGGTGCTCTAACCACTGATCACACTGGCCAGGGCTATATATCTTTTATATTTACTAGTAGTGTTTTGGGGGGATAAATACCCAGAAGTGGAATTGCTGGGTCCTTTTTTTTTTATATATCTTATAACCTTTGTTGTAAAGTCTATTTTGTTTGGTAAAAATATTGCTACTTCAGCTTTACTGATGATTGTTCTGCAGTTCAGTTGTAATTTTTTTTTTAAAGTTGGGGAGTTTATTAGGGAAATATCAGAGGCAAACACCCCAAGTGACAGAAAGAAAAATCTGAAAATGTCCCTTCAAGCCAAGTGGAGACCTGGTCTTGACCTCCCCATAAGGACAAAAAACTGGTAGATTAGCAACAACATTCTCTGGCAGCCACCTTGCCAGGGCTGAGTCTCTCAGCCAGGACTGTCTGCTACCTCCCAACAAAGGTAGGGAGGAGAAAAGACTGTTATAGAGTCAATGCAGAGGCAATGAGAACTGTAAGGAAAATCTGAGAGGGAGAGAGAGATAGATAGATAGATAGATAGATAGATAGATAGATAGATAGATAGATAGATAGGTATGGGGAGGACCTTAATAAAGAGTCCCAGGCTTTTGGCTCTGAGTGCCTCAAATACATTGACAAGTAGTTTTACAAAATGTTACTGAAAAGGTAAAATGCCTAATGTTTTCAAGAGTTCCCCACATGCCATATCACACTGCCAGATGAACATGGCAGAGCCCAAAGGCCACATTTTTGAAGAAAGAAAAACAAGAATAAGCCCTGTTACTCTTTAAGGAGAGAGAAGTGGAAGGCTGCTGGGACCTTTCCCACATAGGCCTGTGTTCTGTAAAGCAACTTCCTTCCTAGCAGCAGTCTGGCACAGTCCTAGGTGAGGGTCTCGCCTTTTGTCACCCTTGCTTCAATGTACTCTATTCTCCGTTCAAGGGCTGTCAATTTCTCATTTAGTGTTGCAAGTCTTGAACAACAAGACATATCGAATGAGTTGAGAAAGTCCGCGATTTTCTTGATGCTGCTGGTGATGATTTCAATGTACTCCTGGTTCGCCCAGTCCTGGTGAATTTCCCGCTGCACAGGATCCTCTTGTCCTGCCATGGCCACTGCCTAAGGCCAGTTGTAATTTTTTAAAAAATATATTTTTATTGATTTCAGAGAGGAAAGGAGAGGAAGAGAGAGGAAGAGAGAGAGAGAAAAACATCAACAATGAGAGAGAATCATTGATCAGCTGCCTCCTGCACACCCCACACAGGGGATTGAGCCTGCAACCCAGGCATGTGCCTTTGACCAGAGTCAAACCCAGGACCCTTCAGTCCATAGGCTGATGCTCTATCCCAGCGGTTCTCAACCTGTGGGTCGTGACCCCTTTGGCGGTCGAACGACCCTTTCACAGGGGTCGCCTAAGACCATCCTGTATATCAGATATTTACATTACGATTCATAACAGTAGCAACATTACAGTTATGAAGTAGCAACGAAAATAATGTTATGATTGGGTCCCAACATGAGGAACTGTATTTAAAGGGCCAGAAGGTTGAGAACCACTGTTCTATCCACTGAGCCAAATGGGCCAGGGCAGTTCAGTTGTAATTTTGATGTGGTTGTGGAAGGATTGAGTACCTATGCTGCCATATTGACCTGAAGCTTTCTGCTTGTGTTTTTAAAGCACTTGCAGCAAATGGATGGTTAGTGATATTTTCATGAAAGCATCTTGGACATGGTTAGGTGTCTCAGACAAAAATAACTTAACCATAAATTCATTATCAGTGAAAGTAGTTGCTTCCAAATACACACTGTCTCTGTGAGTTGTGGAGAGTGCCTGGTCTCCTTAGGTGGTTTCTTTGTATACCCCATAGCATTTCAGAGACCTGCAGTGTACTAGTATGGTACACTGCACCTGTGCACAGTATTGGAGGGGAGAGCCCCATCTTGGCAGAGTCAGAGAGCCCGAACTTGGGGAGGCAGTTCCACACTTGGCTGGTTGTATTTCAGGCATTGTTCCAGGCATTATTCCTAATATGGCAGGTTGCTGTAATACATAGGCCCCAACTTGGCCAGCTTCCCAGACAACACAAGTGTGAAGACACACTGCGTTTACCTGGACTACCACTGCTTCACATGAACTTGCTTTTACAAAAGGACAGGGAGGCCTGTAGTTTTCATCAGTGATCTTTCATCCCCTTCACTTTCTTACTCAGCCCCCCTTGCACAAGAGCCTCTGTCCCACTGCTGCCAAGGCACCCGCCCAGGGGCTGGTTTCCACTGCGTGAGGCAGCCACTTTCTGTCTGACTTCACAGAGTGGTTTCTCTGCTTCTTGTAGTCTGTAGTCAAGGTTCAGTGGCCAGGGAGAGAAAAAAAGGAACTCTCTCCATCCCAGCAGGCAGGGACCAGCTAATGTTTCTTTTTGTCCCCTCCTAAATAAAGCCATACTTGTGTGTGCCTACAGGGATGGGCAAAAGTAGGTAAGAACTCTGTGCCAAAATGTGCTTGAATATAGCAAGTAGACTACAAGAATGTGTAAATACTGAAGGCCAGCAATTTGAGCACTTGCAAGATTGTACCTAAGTGCACTGTGCCATTGTGACATTCTTTTGAGTTAATAAAGCTATTGTAATAATCACAACCTGCATATCTTTTTCCATATGAACAACTGTAAACCTACTTTTGCCTACCCCTGTACATTCTAGAAGTCAGATATTTGTAACTATGGGAGTAGCCTGAACAAGATGTAAATAAAAGCAGACTAACAATTCAGAATGATATGTAACCAGTCTATAAACAAGTGAGCAGGCCAGATCTCGGGCCTCTCTCCACTCTGCTTAGGACACTGTTCTTTCCATCTTTATTTGTTTCCCTGGGCAGAAACACCTTCTTCTCATGGGGGAAAAAAAGAATAATAATGTTGTCTGGGCCTATGTGATGTTCCCCCTGGGAACAGTTGGTTACCTAATGACTTGAGGGAAGGTTTGCTCTGTTTGCTTACTTTTGTTTTTGTTTAACATGGTATTGCTGTGCCTGAGGATTTGAGAAATTCCACTCTTCCAACCTTCCAGGTTGGAGGTCCTTATTGGGACACTGTCTCATTCATTTCCTATTAAATGTAGGCTCAGGTTCAGAAGACGAAAGACCTGCTCAATAACGTGGCCTCTGACGAAGCTAATTTAGAAGCCAAAATTGAAAAGAGGAAATTAGAACTGGAAAGAAACCGGAAGCGACTCCAGACTCTGCAGAGTGTCAGGTAGATATGAACACCCAAAGCATGAGTGGAAAGCTGTCTTTAAAAGTTCACACAGATTGAGAGAATGTATTGTCAGTGATATTAACCCTTCAGGCAGTGGAAGAAGCCTTGAATAAGGCTATCTGTACTGCAGAATGTACGTGTGTTGCTTGTTCAAACAAGCACACCACTAAACTCATTCTCTTTACTGCTTTCAGTATGTCTGGAAAACTGCTTAATTCTTGAACTTCCATTCAGTTTTTATAGCTTCTTGGAATTTAAGGAGAAGTAAGTAAATCCAGATGGTAAAAGTTATACAAGACTTCGTCTTCTAAGATCTGTGCCTTGCCATAAATTAGGTGGAAACAAGCATACTTTCATTTCTTGGTTTAAGTAGACTTAGACTTTTATTTCCTCACCAGTAATTCATCTTTCTTCTGACTTTCCCTCACTGAAAGTATGTTTTCCAGGGAATATAGATAGATGATAGTGGTAGACTTTTATTTCCTCACCAGTAATTCATCTTTCTTCTGACTTTCCCTCACTGAAAGTATGTTTTCCAGGGAATATAGATAGATGATAGTGGTGCAAAACACCTTCTAAGTCATTGGAGCCTTTCAAGCATGTTCCTCATATTTTTTGGAATCTCTCTTTCTCTCTCATTTCCTTCCCTCCTCCCTCTCATTTTGTACCCTCCTTCCCTTGCTGTTATTTTTGTTGTTGTTTCTTCTCCCATGTCACTACTCTTTCTCCCTGTTCAGTGTCCTTTTGTTTTTCTTTCTTTACTCCTTCCCCTGTTTAGCAGTACCTGCTCTAAATGTGTCTTGCTCTTTTGAGATACTGGTGACTGGACCACAGTCTAGCTACTGTCCTAGATCTGTGGGGAGGCAGCACCTGGGGACAGCAGCCAGTTATTCAGGGAACATCAAAGGCTTCCTCCCAGCCCAGGGACCTCGCCTGTTCTGCCTGTAGAATCAGGGCCACCAGATAGACTTGTCTCATTAAAAAGGTCTGCCTTTCAAGCATCAATTCATTTTTGTTAAGCCTCAAATCCTTTTAATAGAAAGGTGTCTGTTTTGCTTTAGTACAAAAGGTTATAAAATTGTTTTTTAGCTTATCTGTTTATATTTTTAAAAGAACAGATTTTCCCTTTAATAAGAAAAAAGTAATTTAGCAAACCAGTTGAAATAGCTTTTTATGTTATGGTTTTAGTTTGCAATTTTATATTGTTTAAAAACTTTAATTTATAGCAACCTATATTTCCCTTTTTAGGTTAAATTTTGGCACAGCAAAGTATTATGCCCAACCTAGATAATGCATATATTTAATTTATTGATTTTGACATATGTGTATGGTATATGCTAATTTTTAAACTGTTTATTGAAATCTATGGCATATCAAGTGAGAAAAAAAAACTGCAGAGCTTCATTTAAGACAGCAGTTTTCAACTTCATCTCATCGCACAAGTAAACTAATTACTGAAATTCTTTGGCACACCAAAAATATATTTTTTGC